GTAATCATTTTTAACGATAGAGACCAACGGGAAGGTAAGCCAAGCTGTCTATCAACACAAAACATTACAACAATATCACCACAATTACGCAAAAGCAATAGCAATCAGCCTAAGATACTTTCTGGATCACATTATACATAGTCAAATACCTTTTTAAAGGGAAGTATAACACTTTAAACTAAGAAAAATAAAGAAGCAAAATCTTTATATTTCAACAGAATAATCTTTTTTTCTTAACAACAACTTCCAATAAAATATTTTTCATTTTTTCTGTTACTTTTTCTAAAAGAAAATATAGCTATTAGTACAGAGAAGTATAAAATATACTGAAATGTAAATGTATAACATTCTGAGATTTTTTATGTTAAATACTTAAACAAAGTTCCAACTAAAATAAATAGTGACTTGTAAACTTACCCAATTCAATATCAGTTTGACATTTTTAAAAAACATTGTTATTAACCCTTCTAGTAACAAAAACAACAATTAAGTGTATTGAAGTAACTAAAAAGCACTAAAAAAGCACATTAGACTTAAAGTTTTAGCTGTAAAAAGCATGTTTATCTGATCTCAATAAAAACCGAATTAATAGTGAAGAAAATTAAATAAAAATCAAAATATGTTTTCATAAAAGTTTGCATATTAAATATGGGGAAATATAACCTCTTCCTGTCAATTATTATTGCCAATTTCAAGCAGTTCAAGGGTGGCAATAAATAGTCATTTTTTTTGAAGGGCTAATATATATACATACTGTTAGAAAAAACAAAAATTATTTACAAAATAAATAATATTAACAAAATATAAATATATATACATACACACACACATACATACTGTTAAAAGAAAAATTATTTACAGAAAAAAAAAAGAAAATGTGTGTATATATATATATATATATATATATATATATATACATATATATATATATATATATATATATATATATATATATATATATATATATATATATATATATATATATATATATATATATATATATATACACATTTATTAACTTTCACGTCTAATAATATTTCAATTGTAGACATGAAATTTTTTTTTTATTTCCCTAGCCCTTCGACCCCTGTATGGGGAGTATTGAACACCCCATCTAAATGATGGGTGGTCTGACCCCCCATATTTCACCCATCTTTGAAATGATCTTTGGGTCAAAGGACCAGGCTTGCTTAGTCGAGAGCGTTTCTAATCTTCATATGTAAGTTCTAAAATTAAAAATTAATTTCTATTAATAAATTTAATTGAAGGAGCATAATTAGATTTAAAAAAATGACCTCAATCATTTTTTCTTAATTCTTTTATTTATAGTCAAGTCTTTACTTCATTAAAACAGATAATATTATTGTAAGCAAGAATTTAGAATTACCGTTTGGTGCTTTAGCTTGAATACCTAAACATAATAAATATATATCTACAGATTCTTCTTCCTTGCTAAAAGATAAATAAAAACACTTAGAAAACACTTAGACATAACAAAATTTCACCATCAGAAGAGCTGGCCGTTGATAACTTATCTAGATAAAAAAAAAACTATTAAACAAACATTTTTTTTCTCAACATATGTAACAAAGATATAGATAAAAATGTTAAAAAGTATTGTCAAGTAAAATGAAAAAGTATAATTCTTTAAAAGTATTAAAGCAGTACGTTATCGAGTTAGGCTTGGTAATTCGATAACGCTTGTAATCTTCATAGTCAAGTCTTTACTTCATTAAAGCAGATAATAGTATTGTAAGTATAAATTTAGAATTACCGTTTGAGGCTTTAGCTTGTATACCTAAACATAATAAACATATATCTACAGATTTGTCTTTCTTGCTAAAAGATAAATAAAAACACTTAGAAAAGACATTTCTAAGTGTTTTTATTACAATAAAATTTCACCATTGTAAAATTTGTTTGTTGACAATTCATCTAGACTAGCAGTAAGCAACCCGTAATACGCGTTGTTAGTAAATAAAATTAAAAAAAAAAACCGCGTATAGAAAAGCCTAGAAACTACTTTAAAATAGAAAAGCCTAGAAAATGACGTATCTCGACTAATAATAATATTAAAATAGCGTATTCATATTATCAGATAAAAAAACTATTAACCGAACATTTGAATTTTTTTTCCTAACATATGTAACAAAGATATATATAAAAATGTCGAAATATTGTTAAAATGAAAAATATTATCCTTTAAAAATATGGAAACAGTATGTACAACTTACCAGCTCGCCTTTGCAGAAAAACTTAAAAAAAAAAAATTGAAAATTTAATATAATTCCTTAAATATATCTTAAATGATATATTTTATATTATTTATCATAAGATATACATTGGCAAATATATAATTTTATATATTGGTAAGTAAATTATTTTATTCATTGCTAAATATAATTACTTTACATGGTTATTTTGTATAGTGGTATAGTTATAAGGTCAAATGTACCTGGTAGTACCGCAATTAACTTGTTTCTTAGCACAGCGGCCTTGTTTTACAATGTTAGTGTTTTAAAATTTTAATTTTAAGTTGAGAAAGGGTCGCGACCACAATTAAAGTAGCATCTTTAACTGTAACAGCCTACCAAGCTTTGGGGAGATAAAAAAATATGGTATATTTTTGCTTACCAATCTGTTGCCTGAGAGCTGAAATATATAAAAAAACCTTTTTATTTAATTTATTATTTAATAAAAGTTAAAAGTGAAATCTGAGTACTAATATAACTTACTTGATACTTCATTGATAACTAAAAATATTGACATGTTAACATAAAGATTTGAAAATATTTGACCCAAGCAAAAAATAACGAAAAAAAAATAATTAGTTACCTGAAGAGACTAATGATGGCAACGAAACAGCTAAATAAAAATCATATCGAAAAAGTTAATTTAATTCTGATTATAATGTAATATTTATTACTTGTCTTTTGTTAAGTAACAAATCCAAATAAAATGTTTTTCAAGTAACTAATCAAAAAAAACACATGTTAAGTTACCAGATTGCGGATGAAGCAGTTATAACAACTGAATGAAAAATATATAAATATGACAAAAATATATATTTTATTAAATCCTGAAAATAACGTTCCAATAAAAAATGTTTATTGCTAGTTTTTCAAGAAAAAAATCAAAATAAATGTATTGTTACTTGGGACGGTCGATGCTGCAGATGACACAACTATATGAAATGAATAAATCAATAAAGATAATAAATTTAAGCATGATGATAATAAACATTTGTTAAAAATTAAATGTATAAATTAACCTGGGGAGATTGATGCTACAGAAGAAATAACTAAAAAAAAAGAATTAAACAAAAAAAGCTATTTTGATAATGTTCAAATAAACAATAAATGGTAATGTTCAAATAAACAATAAATAATAAGTAATGTTTAAAACATTGATAATTAAATAAACAACATCAATTCTTCGCGAATAATAATAAAAATATATCAACTCTAATCAACAACTCAAATTTGCTTACAGATCTTGCTCGAAAGACCGCGTGGAATATAAAACCGTGTATAGAAAAGCCTAGAAACTACTTTAAAAAAGAAAAGCCTAGAAAATGACATAATTTGATTAATAATATTAAATTAGCGTATTAATATTGTCAGATACACTTTAAAACTATTTATACTTTTTTCGTTTCACATTTGTTTGTAAAAAAAAAAAAGATCAATTTTTTGAAAAACTTTTATTTAGTTTTTGACAAAAAAAAACTTAATTTTTTTCTTAAAAAAAATAAATTAATTAATAAAAAATGTGTATATTGGTTGCTAAGGCCGTTGCTAGAGGTTCGAAAATAACCTTTAGAGTTGATATTTTGTGCATCTAAGGCGAAGTATCGAGCTTTTTTCGATAGACTTTTTTTTGTTGAAGGTTTTACCGGTTTGCAAACCACAGTTTGTTTTGAAATATTACAACAAAGTTGTTTAAAAAAGTTTGCGTTTGATTGGGTTGACTTTAACAAAGATGCCAATTAAATCTCCTTTTTTCTCTAGAAAAGGGCATAAGACTACTTTGCAAATCATTTTTTGTTATATTAAATTTTGCAGTGATAAGGTTTTTATTTGTTGATGAGTAAGCCGATCATCTAATGGCGTGCCAATAAATTTATTTAAAGTTTTTATAAATCTATTATAATTCCACAAGTAATTTTTGTATTGTTCTTCTTGTTGTAACAGATAAGTATTTTCTTTGTTACAAATAGTTGGAATAATTCCTATTGAAACTTTTCCCCATTAATTTTCATTGTTTGTTCTTAACAAATCAGCATCTTTTATATAATTTCTTATGGAATTATTAAACAAGTCTTAATTTTCAAAAACGTCGTTTTAAATAGGTTCCCAGCCGGCACATCAACGTCGTTTCGATGTATAGCTTTATGTATAGCTTTGCTGCTAAATTACTTTCAGCAGCAAAGCTATACATAAAAATCAGCCTAAAAAAACATCTTTGACAACGATTATTCTTCATTAGGAAACTTGCGAATAATCGATACTCCACCATTGGATCGCCGAGGCGCATGTTTTAGTTGAAGCATAATTATTTGGCATATTTCAGCTGTAGTAGCCTCTTTGTTCTTGAAAAGAACAACATCTAAGAAATAATTTTAAACATTTTTGGTACGAAAAATATATGTATCATCAAAGCTATTTTGACACACACGAGTGTATCACTCATGTTTGTGTCAACATAGCTCATTTTTGAAATGTATTATGTTGTACACCATAATACATAATAAAAGAGTTATATTGACACAGACCGTAATACATTAAAACAAAACTCAGATGAGCAGATATAAATTATGCCACACATTTGTTTGTTAAATCGCAATTATCTACAAGATACCTAATTATGGCCGATCAGATACAGAAGTCCAAATAACAACAAAACTTAAAATAGTGTAAATGATTATACTAACAATAATTATGAGAAAAATAGCTTATATTATAGCTTATCAACTATTGCTCTGTAAATGTTAGATTTTGAGAATCCAAACTTTTCACCAGATCCATACATATTACATAACGCTTGTGTAGCATTGGGTAAAAAACTGCAATAAAACAGATATACCGAAAGCTATATATATAGTACTTATATATTTTAAGTTAAAAATTATATATTTATTAAATAGTATTAAATTTAAAATATCATAATCACAATATCATTAGGTGGATTCCCCTGGATACCCTCTACAAAAATAAGAAAGTGCTGCAAAAAACATTATTTCCAAAACAATATTGCAATATTTAAAAACTCAGCATACCTTTGCAAAATGTTTTTAATGATTGTTTTAATCGACTTTCCACCGATTCGTGATAACTGTGTTTTCTAAAAAGAAAAAATTTTCTTTCTGCTAATTGTTACTTTCTGCTGTTGTTGTTATTTGTTAATTGTTACTTAACTGCTTGGAAGCAAACTAAGAAGACTGTTATGCCTAATTTTAAAGCTGATAAACTATGCAATAGACATGTTATACAATTATTTTTAGAACTATAATTATTATTTGTATTTTGTAACTTATTGCATTGTATAGAACTTATACCGTAACCTAATACTTTTACATTTAACATAAATGTCTAATAATAAATGTACACCAATTTCAAATCAACTTTAAATTTTCAAACTTAAAAAATCAGTATTACTTACAAAAGATGTAAAATTTGCATCATTATCTAAATCACTATTTAGTTTACAAAGTTCTTCCAGTGAAGTAATATGGAAAAATTTAAAGCTTTCATTAGTTGATGGCAACAGTATAGTCGTTGCAGAGTTGTTGCAACCACAAACCGTTATGTTTTCAAGTTTGATAGAAATTTCTGTTAACAGATTGATAACAGTTTTTTGAAATACTAAAAACAATATAAATAATATAAAATAGTGATTCTGTCTAAAATGCAATGATAACAACCAACATAATTAGCTATATTTAGGATAACGTTGTTTTAAATCCATATTCCTTAAAGATTTTTAAAAAAAGGATTGCCACATATACCTTGCCCTAGTCCTAAACAATTAAAACAGTATAAAACTTACTCTCATTTGTTAGAGGATAGTTATAACCATGCCTACGCTTCACCACATGTTGTTTTGTTTGATTTATTTTCCGTGCTAAAGGTAATGAATAGGAAAAATAAATCAAAATAGATATTCAAAAATAATAATTGTAAATAATAAAAAGAAGTGGTAACAAGATCCAAAGAGTTTAATTATTAATTAGTATAAACAGACGATTTAAGAAATGAAAAAAACAATAATAAATGAGAAAAACAAAATAAAAAAAGCAAAACATTAAAAAATATATTATTAAAACAAGTAATTGATATAATAGCATGCTGATGACAATTATAATAGTAGATTTTTTAAATCAAATGTCATACAAAAGTAATCAGAAATGTCAAAAACTGAAAAAATCTATGACAAAAGAAGTTCCTCTTTTTTCTAAGGTAGTGTCTATACTTTGTATTACTTACAGGGTATTGCAATCTTCCTTGTGCTTTTGAAACCTGATGATTATAATCTGTCACCACTGTGAATAGATGGTTTTGTTCTCAATTTTTGAACGCTGCAAGATGATTTAAATGCAGATAGTTGTGGTGTTGAAATCATTGATTGCAGAGACATAGCATTTGGAAATTTGGGTACAACAACTGAAAAAGATAGTTGGATAAACAACTTAAAAACAAGATTATAAAGTATGTACCAAACCAGTTGAAAAATAAATGTTTGTGACAGCTATTTAAATAATTTAGGCTATCCCTATTATTATAAATATATATGTTTTTTTAAATATACTTTAACAACATCAAATTATTAAAAGTATTAAATTAAGTTTTCACATATTATAACCAACCTGTGTCTTCTTCATTAGAACTTTCTATTAACGATTCTTCTGAAGCACTTTTTTCTTCCTAGGTTGTTACAAACACATAGTCTTGACGTGTTTGTTCATCTGAAAGTTATTAAAAAAAAATCTCAAAACTTTAATTCAGAATTTACTAAGGATAAATTACCAGGTAGTTATTTAAATTAGAATAAGTTAAATTATTAAACTATTGAGGTTTTCTAGAATATGACAAACTACCAACCTCCTACACACTTTGTTGACAAATATTTATATTGTTTCCATTTCAAGACATCTGGTATACTTAGGAGCTGAAAATGTCTTATCACAGATATACCATTGGGCCAATACAGTTTATTTTCAATTATCCAGTTACATAGAACAACACCTTCTGTTTGCATACCATCTTTAATCCAAACACCACGAGCATAAGACATAATTAGATACTAAATTTTAAATACCAAGGCAAAAATTATAATAGCTTAACAAAATCTTATTTATACTAAACTTATTTTTCTATAAAAGAAAAACTATTGTTCAAAATACAAGTGTTGCAAAAGTTAAAGTCAATGTTATTTTTAGCCAAAAATAATAAATTGTCTGGAAAAAAAAAAAAAAAGGTTATTAATTAATAGTTAGTGGAATTAAAAACAACAAAACAATAAATTTTAATTAAAAAATTATTAAAGAAACATCTTTTCTATAGGTTTCACACATATAAATGTTGTTGTCATTAATTTCTTTTATATTAGCATATTTGCCACACTTTAGTAAAAACCAGTTATCTTTATGCTTTATACTTATTTTAGTGTACAAAAATTTTTCAGAATACGTAGCTCCACAACTTTCTAACTCGTGTGCTCGCTTGATAATTTGACTTACAGGATTTGTGGCATTACGGACATGCTTCTTTAAAATTTGGAGGTGATTCTCTAAAGGAAATGCAAAAATTGCATTAAATAGTAGTTAATAACCAGCTACGTCATCTTGGAGATGAATCAGATTATGAACATTGTATGTATTAAATGTATTGCCATAAATATTTTTTGTGGTAGAAACAAAATATACAAGCAAATGATGAGCATATTTCAGCAGAGAATTTCGATACTCAGCATTTGAACTCAGCATAATTCTAATAGCTATTGACAGATAAAGAAAATGTGTGTAGACTTCTTTTTTAACAACCCCTCGAAGTACAACAATACTACTATATAATAGGAATTCCCTAAATTCAGTTGCTTTCCATCGCTTTACATATTCTAGAGATCAAGGTTGACGAGCAAGTTCACTAGGCATTTCATTATTTAATCATACCATACTTTCTGATACACAATTAATTTGCTGAATTGATAGTTTACACAATCTTGGATCATCAGTCAAAAAGTTTAAAAATCGTTTCATAACACCTAAACAAACCAAATGCATATAGTCTAAGACAAACCCAGAAACACAAGGCAAATTATAATCAATTAGGGGAGATTTAGCGTTTTGATGTTCATCATTTTCATGTTGATATTTTAACAGACTAAAATCAAGATCATTTCTTGCAGAAGAATTATTTTTTTAAAAAACACGTCGTCCATCATGCCATGTACCTTTAATTATTCATCGCTCACACGAATAATACCCAGTATGACTTTTGATACACTTAATGAACGCTCTAGCAGGTACGTCACATACAAATGCTTTAATAGAGACTGTGTACCTATGGTTTTCATAGAGAAATCCTACAGTGTTCAATAACTGATATTCAACTAGAAAATCTTTTAAAAAATCATTAATGAAACTAGGCTTCTTGGTACCTGTGTACACTGAAACAATAAAAGGTTTTAGACTGTTAAAACGACAAAGAATTGGCCATAATTCTACGCTTCAAGACTTAAACAATGGGTGTCCATTTTTGCGAAGAATTGCAAGAAGCTTGTTTAGGGAATCTCGTCTAGGTCTGCCTGTAGGTCGTCTGCAACATTTTTATCGCTTGGATCTTCGTCTAGTTCAACACTGATAACAGTATGGAAGATTCAGAGTCTGAATCTTCCATTATGTTAGTAGAATAATAATCATCACTTGGTGTTTCATTTAATCCACTCATATCATGTTGATAATCATCAGGAGAAACTTCATGCGGATTACTGCCCTGAACTAAAACAATATCATTTTCAGAAGCTGATGATTTAGCAATAATTTCTATTGCAGATTGTGAAAAAGCATTTCTCTCCCTGTGTTTTCTAACTCTTTCTGTGTAATTCATATTTTTAACTTACTTAAAAACTTTTAACACTTCGTGGTTATATACTTTTTTATGGCGCAATGATTTCTGGACAATTTCGAAGATTTTGGTCTAAACCGGGTCGAAATCAAGTTACTCGACGTTGCGACTTTATATCGACTTTATATCGACCTTGAAACTGCGTCGTGTGCCGGCTGGGTTGTTCTTTTGTTTTCATTGACAATATATATCGATCCAGTCTATATTGTTTTCGCATATATAGATGTAAATGCATGTCTTTCTTAAAAAGTTTTTGAACTAAAGGATCTAAATACTTGAATAATTTATTTCTAATAAATTCAAAAAATGGAGATGCATAAAGAAACGCTACTTCAAAATAATAAAAGTTCAGCAACCTGCACAATGAAGGTAAGTAAAAAATGCTTGTGTATTGATATTCGGGTGAATGAAAACAAAGCGTAATAAAATAGCTCTCAAAGGCTCCGCATAAACTGCTAATAGCCCATTGAAAAAAAGATTTTTTCGCCTGTCATTGTGCTGTCTTTTAACATAAATTGAGTAAACCAAAAATATTCTTTATTGTCTCCTGTCCATTTTTTTGAAAAATAATGAGTTTGTCTTATGTAAGAAGAAACATTTGTTTCGTTATAATTGATATTGATGGTATTGATTGGAATGTTTGTTTTTACTTCATCTACTGCTTCTAATAAATGTCTACTAAATCTGAAAAAAGGCGGAATTCGTCTTAACGTGTTAACAGCTCCTAAACTATCAAAACAAAAAAAGTAATTGGTGTCAATTTTGAGTAAAAGTCTCCTGTGCTTGCCTTTTTTTTTTAAGTTTCGTTATTATAAATATAAAAAGGATCCCGTTTTCATCATGCGCTTAATCAAAGCGAAATGCGTTTGAGGTTGACTTAATTCGTCAAATGCAAAAACACCGGCAAAAAGTCTTTAAAGTTTGTTGTTGAAAATAACTAGACATAGATCCGTTTGTACACATCATTCTTCTAAACTCAAATAACTAGAAATAAATAAAGTGACAATAGCATGCAATAAAATTAATAAATAAAGTATTTACGTCTTCAGTTCTTTCTTTTAATATTCCTTCAATCTTCCTTTTGACAGACCTTTTTTTCATAGTACTATCTAAATTTTTCTATAATAGTAGAGACGGTAGGTATTATTTTTGTTGTAAACAAATCAATGATTCCGACACCATCGGTTTGATCTTGCTCGGGTTGAGTATCTCTTTCGAGTAACAAAACAGTCAGTTTGGATTTGTAAAACTCCGCAATAACATTTTCGTTAACATGTGCTTTTTCTAACTTTTTAAAATTTTCGCTATGAAAATGACATATTTTAGCCTGCTCTTATAATTTTTCAAATTGACTATTTTTAATTATTTTTTCGATAGCGTTTGAATTTAAACTAATACGTTTAGAATTTAGAACAGGTTCCAAAAATAAACTAGAATGCTCATCTGTATGATGTTCGTCTTCAGCTATAAGGGAAGCCTTACGTTTTAAGTCATAAAATAGCAATGCTTTTAATTGCTTTTTTGAAAAAAAAAACAAAATGTTGTTCAAAATTTTAATATTTTAACAATACTAAATATTTTTCTTTAATTTAAATTTAAAAAAATTGAATTTTTATCGTTTAAAGGTTCGAGTTAATAAAATTTTAAATTTTTTTTTGCGGAAAACATAGTTGTATTGCTTCAACAAAAAATAGCCTAATATTTGATATTTTAATGATAAGTTTTGTTTAATAAGGGAATCATTATATCTCAAAAATTAGTTTTAATTTTCGAATTTTTTTACTTATAAACGCTATTTTTTTTTTTACTAATTTAAAGTGCTCATATTTCTCAACGGTCTGGATAATATGAGTTTTTTTGCTACTTTTTTTTAAACCTCTGTGTTTTGTGAAAAAGTATTGGAAATAATGCCCAAATATCTGAGTGGATTATGTGTATGCATTCCTAAAATTTGTTAGTTTGCAAGTATTTTAGATCTAGCCCTGAAATTTTTGAAAATATTCGAGTTTTCGCTTT